ATCACAATGCCGCACGCCTACAAGCTATTCCGCTGCTTCTTCCCTCATGGGCCAAATCCATCAAAACGGAACACCTACACTGCCTCCTTGCTGAGCATAATCGACATCATGGTGCAGAAAGGTTAATCATTTGGTGGATGGCTTCATGTAACATGTGCAATGTCATAAAGTCACGTGATTCTAGTTCAAGTATAATAGGGCTTAGCGATTCTTTCAAAGCGTTTATGGTATAGATGTGAGTGAGTGAGCGTGTTTAACTTTACGCAACCCTCAGCCACAGTCCAGCTATGACGGCGGTCTGTAAATAATAGAATCTGGACCAGACAATTCAGTGATCAACATCATGAGCAATTGAGATACGATGACATATGTCAACCAAGTCAGCGAGCCTGACCAGATCCCGTCAGTCGCCGTTAACGACAAGCATGGGTTACTGAAGATCAATTCTAACCCGGATCTTCACGGGTAGATAGGCTGAAACATCAGTGACCAAGGTGATGTCCAACGAAAGAAACTATTTTGACCTGTTCCACGTGCTTTGGCATCTGAACAATTGACTTGAGTCTGCAAGTGTTTACGGCGGGTGCCGCCGGTGGGACAGTAAACGCCCACCTTTACTCGAAAACCTAATATCATAACTATTTGATAGAGAGACATGACTATGATATAGTATAAATCGTAGAATGGTTTTTCAATGAGTGAGTGAGTGAGTGAATGAGTGAGTTTAGTTTTAGCAATATCACAGCAATATCACAGCAGGGAACACCGGAAAAGGGCTTCACACATTGTACCCATGTAAGGAATCGAACCCGGGACTTCGGCGTGACGAGCTAACGCTTTAACCACTAGCCTACCCCACCGCCCGTGAAGTACAGTGAACCTGGGTATGTCGGCACCATAGCGTTGCTTATGGTTTCCACCCAAGTAATCCTATGAACAAACCTGTCTTTCCCAACTGAACTGACACGAAGAGACAGTTTCAAATACTGATCTAGTTCGTCACTGCCCAACCTCACCGACTCACTCAGTCACTAACTACAATTACGTATTGAAAACAACGCTATATAATGTACTTGAAGTCTTGTGTTAACTCACAATCATGTGTGCCGCTATATTGTAAAGATTACTGACATCACCGAGCCACTAACGAACACTTTTTTATTCCATATGATTGTAATAATGTCCTCCTCCGCATGTCAGGATAGAAGATAATAAAAAGTCGTCCTCTAATCACGTATTAAATACGACCTGGGAGCAGATGGCCTTGAAGTACTGCTTTACATTAGGACAACCCCTTTCATGCAGAAATCCAAAAATTAAACCTTGATCAATAATTTACTGTACAATTATATTTTTTCCTCTCCCGCCCACTGTTTGCTACAGAGAGAAGGGCCATGTTTGAAGAGCCACATGACGTGAGAGAGGCCGATGGCTACTGGGAACATGCAAGAGCTCTATGGGGAGCCACTTGTTGACATGAAGTACGAGATATGCTTAGATGCTACCAGGTTAGACGAATGAGACAATTTCTTTGAAACGGATGCTAGTTCAGCTATCGGAAAATTTCGTGTTGGTTCGGACAATAAAGTTAATCCAGTAGAGCACACTAAAGGATCGATATGTGTGCATGCCTGTATGCCAAGAGAAAGCTAATTTGAAAATCAAAACTCTGTGGACGGTTTTCAAAGGAACGGACTTCCAAAATGTAAATTCATAATTCAATGTTAGAAAGGCGCCTCATTTACCCAAGGTAATCTATTTGACAATCAGACTTGGCTTCCCAAAGATAGTCATTGATTAAGATCAAGTCGATCACGTTCTCGTTTATCATTCAGCCCTGGCCGAAATAACCAACACATTTTCATGTCGGTACACGACGCGTTTTAATTTTAGAAAAATAACGTCCGGCCGAAGCATTAATAAGTCATAATACTCCAGATGTAGTTAATATTGTATTCATTAAATAACAATTACTGTCATTTCGTCGGTGTGAAGGTATATTCGGTAATGATAGATTTTTCAACCTGGGAGATAGTCCAGATGTAGCCCCTATAATAGATAACCGACTTTAACAACCGTCGTATGGGAGCTCAGGCTGCACCCCATATGTTTGATATTCATACAATTTGGAACACAACTACTTTATAACTAGAAATAATTTCATGAATGCTGAAGTAATGTAGCATGAATTCCAGCTGTAAATTGCTAGAGGCTGTGACTAAATATTCTGCCTGTTCCATTCATACTTATTGGTGAAATACGGAAAACGCCTTATGATGTATGAAACGTAGTTTCGGAATGTTTTCAGCAGGGAATTATCAAATAGCTCATTAAATAGTGACTGATGGTGCACAATCTTTGCTGTCATGCTGTGCACGACTGTCCCCGGACGAGTTGATGAATTTATTGCAATGACTGACGTTGTGGATGAGTGAGTGGTTGCGTTGTTGAATGAAGGGTTGAGTAGTTGTACAAGTGGTTGAATAGTTGAGGGAGTTGCTGAGTGGATGAGGAAGTGTTTGAATGGTTGAGGGAGTGGTTGAATGGTTGAGAAAGTGGTTGAGTATTTGAGGAAGTGGTTGAATGATTGAGGGAGTGGTTGAATGGTTGAGGAAGTGTTTGAATGGTTGAGGGAGTGGTTGAATGGTTGAGGGAGTGGTTGAATGGTTGAGGAAGTGTTTGAGTGGTTGAGGGAGTGGTTGATTGGTTGAGGGAGTGGTTGAATGGTTGAGGAAGTGTTTGAGTGGTTGAGGGAGTGGTTGAATGGTTGAGGGAGTGGTTGAGGAAGTGTTTGAATGATTGAGGGAGTGGTTGAATGGTTGAAAAGTGGTTGAATGGTTGAGGAAGTGGTTGAATGGTTGAGTATGGTTGAGGAAGTGGTTGAATGGTTGAGGGAGTGGTTGAATGGTTGAGGAAGTTGGTTGAATGGTTGAGGAAGTGGTTGAATGGTTGAGGGAGTGGTTGAATGGTTGAGGAAGTGTTTGAGTGGTTGAGGAAGTGGTTGATTGGTTGAGGGAGCGGTTGAATGGTTGAGGAAGTGTTTGATTGGTTGAGGGAGTGGTTGAATGGTTGAGGGAGTGGTTGAGGAAGTGTTTGAATGATTGAGGGAGTGGTTGAATGGTTGAGGGAGTATTGTAGGTTAGCGTAAGGAGTTGAGGAAGTGGTTGAGTGGTTGAGGGAGCGGTTGAATGGTTGAGGAAGTGGTTGAGTGGTTGAAGGAGTGGTTGAATGGTTGAAGTAGTAGCTGAGGAAGTGTTTGAATGGTTGATGGAGTGGTTGAATGGTTGTGAAAGTGGTTGAGTATTTGAGGAAGTGTTTGAATGGTTGAGGAAGTTTTTGAATGGGTGAGGGAGTGGTCGAATGGTTGAGGGAGTAGTTGAATAGTTGATGGAGTTGCTGAGTGGATGAGGAAGTGTTTGAATGATTGAGGGAGTGGTTGAATGGTTGAGGAAGTGTTTGAGTATTTGAGGAAGTGGTTGAATGGTTGAGGAAGTGGTTGAATGGATGAGGAAGTGTTTGAATGGTTGAGGGAGTGGTTGAATGGTTGAGGGAGTGGTTGATGGTTGAGGAAGTGTTTGAGTGGTTGAGGAAGTGGTTGAATGGTTGAGGAAATGTTTGAATGATTGAGGAAGTGGTTGAATGGTTGAGGAAGTGTTTGAATGGTTGAGGAAGTGGTTGAATGGTTGAGGGAGTGGTTGATGGTTGAGGGAGTTGTTGAGTGGTTGAATGGTTGAGGGAGTGGTTGAATGGTTGAGGGAGCGGCTGATGGTTGAGGAAGTGGTTGAGTGGTTGAGGGTTCGGTTGGGTGGTTTAGGGAGTTGTTGAGTGGTTGAGGGAGTTGTTGAGTGGTTGAGTGGTTGAGGAAGTGTTTGAATGGTTGAGGGTGTGGTTGAGTGGTTTAGGGAGTTGTTGAGTAGTTGAGTGGTTGAGGGAGTTGTTGAGTGGTTGAGTGGTTGAGGAAGTGGTTGAATGGTTGAGGGTGTGGTTGGGTGGTTTAGGGAGTTGTTGAGTGGTTGAGTGGTTGAGGGAGTTGTTGAGTGGTTGAGTGGTTGAGGAAGTGTTTGAATGGTTGGGTAGTTGAGTACGAGTGTATTTCCTGATGTAATGCCATGGTGTGCAGAGACGTTTACTCAAAGACCCAGTGACTGTGTGACTATGAGCTGATATATACTGTATGATCAGATTAGGCTATATATGAGGTCTGTTTGAGGGCGTGCTCCCACCAGACAAACTACCTCTGGGAGAGTATAAGAACTACCGTATAAAAACAACACGGATCCACGTCACCCGATATCAAGGGCTTGAAACATCAGGTGTCTGTCACGTGAGGTACCGTGACGGCGGGACCGACACCAGAGTGGGTGCTGTGTGACATGACGTAGGCGTCCTACAATGTAGCATGACGCTCCAGTTGAACAGATGACGTTATTGCAAAAGTCGTACCCAAAAATAAACGGCCCTGTTCATGACGTTTCACGAGGTTGAATATGAGCATGTATGGGTCTGTGATGCTCTTTCTCCAAGATGTTAGGTGAGGATTTTGCATTTGGCCGGTGCCACGGTTTGAGTATTATTTTACATTAGTCTCTACATTACAAAGGTTTACATCCATACATTTCCTCTCCATAAGTGTATAACTTCTAATTGGTATTAATAAAATGAAATTATATTTGTGCTTCACCAATTCTATCTGCTAGCGGTTTTCATACATGTACGAGACACTCAATCGACTATAGCTCCACAAAGCACGGTGTAGAGTTATCCCATTGGGCGTGTCGAACAACTATGATCGTGGGATTTAATCCCCGTTCTTGGTTTGTTAGTTTTTCAACAGAATGGTAAGCGTCTGTGTCCTGATTGACTATTTTCTCCAACATTAAGCTGATGACAACTGTTAAAGGCGGCGTCACATCCACCTCACTCACTCAATCAATCATATTTGTATCACCTATTCGTGTTTCGAGGAATCTATGTAATACAGGGTTCGTGTAATAACTTACCCATAATCCAATATGGTCGACATGTATACACGGCAACTGTGAAGGCGATGTATATCGCCGACAGCGCTAGAAGGAGGAAGCTCCAGTTTGTGGCAAATATAAACCATTTCCATACTTTGTAGTCGTAGAAGGTGGTGGACTCGTACGTGATGTCTGCCGCGCACCAGCCCGTGATGGCCACTGCTATCAGCGCCCGGTACACCACGTAAAACCGCTGCTTCACAGGCCACTGCAAGAAAGGAAGAAACACATAAAATAACAACACAAGCACCTAGGACTGCACGGTAGTACCGATATACTGGTATATCGCAATACGTCTTTTAAACGATAAGTATTTCAATGTCTTTTTCTCACAAGCTCTGGGTTGGTTTGATTCATATATGACTGACAGACGACAACGTGTTGTCATTGATGGTCATTCCTCTGACTCATCAGATTTGCTGTATGGTGTGCCACAAGCCTCAGTGTTTGGGCCCATTCTGTTCACCATCTACACTTCACCGCTCGGTGACATCGCACGATCACATGGACTGTCGTTCCATCTATACGCAGACGACACTCAGCTATACATGGCATTCAAACCGTCGGTGAAAGCATCCATTTCTGTCACATTCACAGTGCTGGAAACATGCATTGACGAGATAAAAGAATGGATGACATCCCATTATCTAAAGCTGAATGGAGACAAAACCGAGTTTCTTATCATAATGCCCAAACATTCGTGTCACGACATTGTATTACCAGATTATCACATCGGCAACCATAAGATCAGCCCAAGCAAACAGGCCCGAAATCTCGGTGTCATTTTCTATTCAAACATGACACTTGAGTCTCACATAAACTCTGTCTGCAGGAAATCTTATTTTCATATCCGCAACATGGCTTTGGCACGAAAGTACATGAACAAAAGAACCGTCATCTCCTTGGTCCATGCCTGTGTGCTGTCACGCATTGGCTACTGTAACTCACTCCTGCAAGGATTGTCATCATGTCTGATCAGGAAGTTACAAGTTGTACAAAACTCAGCAGCCCGAGTCGCAACAAGAACAGCGAGACATGATCACATCACAACAATTCGCCAACATCTACACTGGTTGCCAGTGCCACAGCTGATCAAATACAAAGTTGTCCTGCTTGTCTTCAAGTGTCTCCACAATCAAGCCCCTCAGTATCTCTCCAGCATGATAACCAGATATCAACCTGTCAGATCTCTTCGATCCTCTCACCCTCTCAACTACCACACCTACCACACCTACTACGTCTTCAGCTCTTATATTATCACACTACAACTACCCACACCTACTACGTCTTCAGCTCTTATATTATCACACTACAACTACCACACCTACCACACCTACTACGTCTTCAGCTCTTATATTATCACACTACAACTACCACACCTACCACACCTACTACGTCTTCAGCTCTTATATTATCACACCACAACTACCACACCTACTACGTCTTCAGCTCTTATATTATCACACTACAACTACCACACCTACTACGTCTTCAGCTCTTATATTATCAACTACACCTACCACACCTGCCACACCTACTACGTCTGCTACCACTACTACTATTTTTGCTGCTGCTAGGTCTACTGCTACTCCGTCTACTACCACTACTACAACGAGTACATGTGCTACCGCTTCTACGTCTACTGTTGCTTATATTATTACTAGTGAGACTACAGTGACTTTAGTTTTACGCCGCTTTTAGAAATATTGCAGCAATATGACAGCGGAGGACACCAGACATGTACTGACACAACAACTACTCCTACTACGTCAGTTACTACAACTACTGCTATTGTTTCTCCTGAAGGTCACGCCCCATACAGTTACTGATACCAATACCCCAACACTACAGCCTTTATCCCACCATCGTTAATTCAAGTCCTCAGAGAAAGTCCTATCATAGCCGAGGGACCAGCTTATCTCTCATTGCATGCAATTACTCTGTTTAGAAGATATGTGTGCTCTCATTGTCAGCTTACAACTTAGGCTATGTACTCCCTGTGGAGTTGAGAACGATAACTCGACTGCATATCTATCGGAGGAAATGGACAATGAACGACGCCAGGCACTGGACGTCCTCTAAAGATGTGGGGGCGACAGCTGGTATGGCTGTGTGTCAGTATTATTGAATCCCAATTAAATAATGCATTGTGTAAATTATATTTCGTAAACACAAAAGATACTCTTTATGAGTTTGGAAATAGCGCACGTTCTCCGTAGTATTTCTTCGCCCACAGCAGAGGAAGATGGAGTATTTGAATTAAGAACAAAGAACCGCAAACAAAATAAACAAACTGAAACATTTGAAGAAGCTGTCAATGATGGCAGTTTAGACCCTGTTGATTGTGTGGGCGTGTTCGTTATGTATGGAGTAGGCTGAATCAATATGCCGACGACCATAACCTTATGTGACACAGCAAGGGAGGTCAGGCTTCAATAGAAGCCCTATACTTTAGATGCTTACAGAACATACAGTGTTGTACAAATGAGGAGCTGGTTCAAGGGACGGTAACATGTACCTTGGCATGGCGCTGGTTCGTGCAACAAAGTACAGTGTTGTGCCTGCTTCTGTACTCTGAAGTTAAGTAAAGACTGCACCTGCAATACCATGTGCTTAGTCAGTGCACGCAACATTCTCTCTAAATGGCTACTGCTGTGTAGCTTTCTGTCTAACTGGGCAGGGCTCTCTATATGGCTAATGTGTTGTGAACATACGATGTCTATGGGCCTTTAAGCTCTTGACATACAGTGGCTCGTCTAGACATACAATGGCAGTATGCCATATAACGTCTTGACATACAATGGAAGTATGCCTTATAACGTATTGACATACAATGGCAGTATGCCATATAACGTCTGGACATACAATGGCAGTATGCCTTATAACGTCTTGACATACAATGGAAGTATGCCTTATAACATCTTGACATACAATGACATTATGCCTTATAACATCTTGACATACAATGACAGTATGCATTATAATGTATTGACACACAATGACAGTATGCCTCATAACATCTTGACATACAATGACAGTTTGCCTCATAACATCTTGACATACAATGACAGTATGCCTTTTAACGTCTTGATATACAATGACAGTATGCCTTATAACGTCTTGACATACAATAACAGTGTGCCTTATAACATCTTGACATACAAAGACAGTATGCCTTATAAATCTTGCCATACAATGACAGTATGCCTTTTAACGTCTTGACATACAATGACAGTATGCCTTTTAACGTCTTGACATACAATGACAGTATGCCTTATTACATCTTGACATACAATGACAGTATGCCTTGTAACATCTTGACATACAATGACAGTATGCCTTATTACATCTTGACATACAATGACAGTATGCCTTATGACGTCTTGACATACAATGACAGTATGCCTTATTACATCTTGACATACAATGACAGTATGCCTTATAACGTCTGGACATACGATAGCAGTAGGCGAGACACGAGGTAGGCGACACTCCCGGGAGGTACGGTGGTAATTGAAGCCCTTAGCTGTATTCTTCACATGAAAATGACCAGCGGAGAGGTGGACTTAAATTACCGGTCTAATTGGAACAACATTTTCATACCACGGCGAGAACCTGAGCAGAGTATTCGAGAAGTAGTTTAAATAACCCGCACGTTTTCGGTATATACAGTACAACCAGAAATTATTGAGAATTTAAAGATTGTAAATTTTTTTTTTTTTTTCACTCATTACTCACGTATTAAATGTGAATATTAGCAGAACATAACTCCAGATTCAAAGACAGGTGAACAGTTAGTATTTTGTCAAGTCACCATGGGCAGCAATGCAGGCTTCAATGCGGCGGGGCATACTACTGATCAAAGAAGTTAGAAAGTCGTGGTCCATGCTGTCCCAATATCGGACCACCTCTTCTTTCATTTCAGCAATATTTGTCAGATTTTCTTATTGACACTTTCCTTCATAAGTCCCCAAACGCTTTCTATTAGATTTAGGTCAGGGCTATAGCTTGGCCAATCTAATAATGTCATATATTGGGTCCGAAACAAGCCCTCTGAATGCTTTGAACGATGTTTTGGGTCGTTGTCCTGCTGGAAAATCCAAACATTTCCATAGAACATGTGAGCAGATGGAAGTAAATGTCCCTCGAGAATATCTGTGTACCGCTCACTGTTCATATTCCCTTCAAATACACAGAGGGACGTTGCCCCTAACACAGATATGCCACCACACACGTTAAATTTCGGACTGTACTTTGGGCGCTGATACAAAGGTTTTTCAGTTTGTTTGGTCCAGAATTTCAGTGTATTAGGAAACAGCCACACAGAACTTACATCTGAGAAAATCACATTGTCCGAGTTAAATTTCTATGCTATAAGCACCAGTTCAACCTTCACTCCTTTTGTTCAGGTTTCATGATCGGTGATGGAATTCCACGACTTTTCTGCCAACCCATGCATGCAGCTCAGTTCTAATTTTCTCCTTACAGACAGCCACAGTTCCTCTATCAATCATATCCAGCCTTAAGTTTTCTAAACTCTTTCGGTGGTTTTAGAAACAAGAATACCAAGCTGCCTCCTGTCACAGACAGTCAATTTTCTGGGCCTACCTGCGCCTCCCTGGTGCTCAATGCCATATCCATTTGCAATATTTTTCAAAACACGATAGATAGTGGACAAAGGGATGCCTGTTCTACTTGAAATCACTTTAGCTGATCTGATGTCCTTGTTATAATACTCTAAAATCAACTTCCTCTTCTCTTAATCATCCATACTGAGGATCACTGAAAATGTCGTCTGCTAGCAAGTAAACAAAGGGGAATAACTCTTCACAAACTAATGAAAAAGGATTGACGGAGTTGTCTCTCTTGAATGAAACCAAGCATGTCATAGCTGGTCAAGGTTGTTTATACTAGAAATCCAATTAAACATATTCCTAAAATTCTCAATAATTTCTGGTCATATTATATCTTAGAGGCTATCTGTGTAGGATTTCTGCTATATTTTACATTTGTTTTTTCGAACACCAAAACATTCTTCTAATTACCCCAGGTCATGTTAACATCCTAATTCCAACTTGTAGTCTGCACCTCAACATCTACACCATGCTTTATATTATTAGCTTGTAGATTAATACGAATATGGGTTCCATATTTCATTACAACGGAATGTGACTGTCAGTTCTGAAAGGATCATTTACAACATGGTAA